TGAGGGAGTGTGAGAGCAATAAATGGATATTATATATATATATATATATATATGCACAAACACATGTCATTAAAATTTTCACTAGATCTAATATGTATCTCAATGCAATATTATTTAAATTGGAAATTTCTAGAGTAAAAATTAATATAACATAAACCCAATTTAAACAAACTTTTAGCCGAACTAAATGATTTGACATGACGAGCCAATCAACATATATATATATATATATATGCACAAACACATGTCATTAAAATTTTCACTAGATCTAATATGTATCTCAATGCAATATTATTTAAATTGGAAATTTCTAGAGTAAAAATTAATATAACATAAACCCAATTTAAACAAACTTTTAGCCGAACTAAATGATTTGACATGACGAGCCAATCAACATCATAAGTGTTTATGACCAAATCATAATTAGCTAATACCAAGATTCAAACTTTATAATACTATTTGAAGAATCAAGATTTTGCCTGTCTACCAAAAAATAAGGTAATCGTAACACATATTTTGAGCTATCGCACCGGTTTTAACCGCCACAATTTTCTTTGCAGCGGTTCTTAAACCGCTACGAATACGCTGTAATTACTATGCGCTGCAACGACATTCCGTAGCGGTTTTACGACCGGCGGGGTAGCAGTTGGGAATCGCTAGTTTTTGCAGCGGTTATAACCGGTACAAACCGGTGCTAAAAGAGACTTTTAGAAGCGGTTCTAAAACCGCTCCTAACAAGTGGTGCGAAAAATCTAACTTTCTAGTAGTGAACGTTGGAAAAAGAGAACTATGATCTATTTATAAATTTTGAAGGCAATAATATGATACTTTTTTAAGATTATACTTGAACACCCCTCGCCTAATTAAAAATTTATAGGATGATCTAGATGATCTAAACATGTCGATCTACTCACATAGGCCATAATTGAGTCAGATGGTCAATCAATTTCTAATGGTATTGGTTCAATTACATCTAATGAAAGGCACCATCTAAGGATTGGAATAAGCTTGTTATTATTTTGTTCAACTTCCTACGAGTCATGGGTAGATTTAGGGGGAGCACGACAATAATTTTTTTTAATTATCATAAAATTTATCTTCTCATAATTAATAAAAAAAACTATAGTATCAATTTCAAGCTCAAATGAAAAGCATGAGAATATTTTTAAAATTAGAAATGTGTTCCCACAGATAAAAAATTCTGGTTCCGCCAGTGCTACGAGCAATCTAATATCATTGACAATTTTTTTATTTAAATGGGTTGAATCATAATAATTTAGAGAAGGCCTAGCGAATAATTTTAGGGTACTTGGAAGTTGGAAAAAAGGTGACCGAACACAATTACACAACTAATTTTGTGATCAGATATTTATATTCTCGAGAGAAATCTAGCAGCATAAATAACTATTGATTTCATCAACTATAGAGGTCACAGAGACTTAAAAAAGTTTAGAGGATTTATTTAGTGCAACAAATAACATATAACAAAGGCCGATTGAAAAGGTGGTGGCGGTGGCTGTTATTGTTGATGATGTAGAAGTGCGGCACCCGTTACGTTTTATTTTTTTGGTTAATTTTTGGGATATTGTACTGCCTAGGGGCCGGGTGTTAATTTTTGACACGACTCAAAACCCAGCCCAAACCAAACTTGAAAAATCCGGATTCGGGTCAATCCGTTTGTGAAATGGGTCGGGTTCGAGTTCAACAAACTGATATGTTTCAAAAATTAGGTAGGGTTCGGGTTGACCCGTAAACCCGTAAGTGACCCGTAAATAGTTTGTCTGCATCTGTTGCCCACCTTGCCGGCGTCGAGTGCCCTTGTTGCCCAACGCATCAAGTCGCGTCACACATGACTCCCGTCTCTTCAATCTCTTTGCGAGTGTTGCCTGACATGTCGTCGTTAAGTCGCGTGACTCTCATCTCTTCGGTCTCTGCTTTTGCACCGCTGCCTCGCCGCCTACTTTGAATCAGAACCAGAAGTAGCGATGAGACCTCAGCTTGCGATTCTTTAGCTAAATCTTGTAAATCTGGGTCGGGTTGTGTCAACCCGACAACCTGGCAAGTCAGGTTCAGGTTGCATTTTCTGACCCGTTTGTAAGAACGGATTGGATTTGGGTCGTGTCAAATAGCAAATTAACACACCAAATACTGCCCATATGAAATTGAGCTCTATGCAACTTGTAACTCTTATAAAATTCTATTGACAAGCCACTCATTTTTAGTGTGATCTTTCAAAAATTAGAATTTAATCGATCCTTTAGATAAATTTTAAAATTTCTAATTATACTTTATTTTTAAGCTCATCTTTTGATTTGGATTTAGATTTAGACAATTTTATATAAGCATGATCGACTTGTATGGTCCAATTATTACTCTTAAAAATAAATTAAATTAGAGCTTTTGTATTTTTTAAATTAATTAATATGTATTATCATAATTTTATTTTCTGACATAATTAGTTTGTGAAAATTTATATTTGATCGGATTAATTTTGCAAGTCAGATCAATATTATTTTTTGATAGAGAATAAAATAATCATTATCTCATTAGAAATTAATAATTTTCTATGAAAAAATCTTGTTTATATTTTTGTAAAAACAAATCCATTCAATTTAGGCTTGATTCAGGACTGCTTTCTTACTGCTTCTTAAAGCACTTTTTTAATATAAAAAATTTAATTTTTAAATTAAAAAACAATAAAAAAATCATCCAAAACAAAACCTTAATTTCAATAAATAGATAATCATCCACTTACAATGCACAAAACCAATAATTGATCAATACATAACATATTTTGAACACAAATAATTTAACACCAAAATCCAAACACAATAATATACACATAACTCACTAAGATTTTGTTTGGAACAGCTTTAAGAAAAGCAATAAAAAAACTATTCCAAACAAAACCCACAAATTATTTCATGCATATAGTACAAGCAACCACACAATACGAAATATCAAATACAAATGACTTACACCAAAAACAACACAAGAAACATGCATGGAATCAACTGCTGGATTCAGGCTCTGTCATCACGGGCTTTCACTTGCAGGCGGTGGCGGAAGAAGCGGATTTGATGGAATACTTGGAATGGAAGGCAATGGAGGCAAGGAAACATTTGGAATGGTAGGGATGGTCGGAAGTGGAGGCAAAGAAAACGTAGGAAGGGACGGTATGGAGGGCAGCGGCGGCAATGCCGCCGCAGGCTGTGGGATAGACGGCTGAGTTGGCTGCGGTGGTAACGACGGAATCAGCGGCGGCGTCGGAGCTGGCGTGTCGAGGAGACGGCGCCCACCATGGCATAGAGAGTTTTCGAGCAAGACGAGCACGAAGAAGAAGTAGAAGAGACGATTTGTGTGAGCCATTGAGGTGGAGGGAAGGGAAATGGAGAGAAGAAGATATGTGGTTGATGAGAGTAGAGAAGGATGGCTGTGTTTTTTATAGTTGAGGGAGGGAGGAAGGAGAAGCTAGCTAGATGTGTTGATTGTGATAAGGTAGGTGGTTAATGAGCTATAGGTAACGTGAAGAAAAGAGTTATTTATGAAGGGTGTATGTAATTGTTAAAGGGATGTGGTTAATAAATTTCTCATTTTTTCTGTTATTGGTTGTTCACCTTCTCCCAGCTTCCTGGTCTTTTTTTTGGAACGTGTCAGTACATGTGTTTTCATCTCTGGGCTTCATGTTGATTTTTAATAGAGGGAGGTGGAGAAGGGCCTATTTATCTAAGTTTAGGGTTTAGGGTTTGGAGGTGGGTCCCAATTGAATATAAATCTTATAAACTATATTTCTTTTATTTTATTCATAGAAAAAAAA